CGAGGTCGCTGCCGAGCTCGGTATCCGTGCCATGCCCACTTTCCTTCTCTTCAAGAACGGCCAGAAGTTCGACGACCTCACCGGTGCCAACCCCAAGGGTCTGGAGGAGAAGATCAAGGCTCTGCTTGCATAAATTCCCCGTTGATAGACGATAATGAGGGGATACCTTGATGGTTATGCTAGTTACAGATGAAATCTAATTGATGGGCTTCTTACCCCGCACACACATACTCGAGACGATCCGTATGAGTCGATGGCAATACTTGTTGTAGATGTAGTCATGACCGTATTCCTGGACCATAGTAGCAGTGGTATTAAGACCTTCATTACTATGCAGGTACTTGGGGTTATTTGTTTTCGTTGAAGCGCATCATACGCTAATGTAAGATGACATCAGGCTTGCCTGACATATTACACTCTGAATAGACATCCCAGTAAACAAGTCCAACTCCAACGCCTTATTCCTGTATCTTGCCACTTATACTAGATCTACTGACGATGCATAACCTACACTACAATCGGCGGACCCAGAAATATCCAGTCTGTCCTGCATCTCCTTAATGATGTTAAACCAAATAACTACCTTAAGCCACCAGACAATGAGTAATAGCAACATATCGAAGTGATATCGTCTCCAAAGCAGATAGATGCCACTACATTGTTTTGTTCGAAGAGGATCACCAATAGTTCACATTAACATTGCCCAGCTGCTGGATCTCCGTATATTGACCTACAGTATAGAACCATCTAGGCGCTAATTAGACTAGGCATAATGCAAGAACTTTCATCTACTATCTTCTCCAAGTGTAGAAGTAAGGCGTAGTATTCAAAGGAAATGAGCTTCGATACGATGCAAAGGAAATGCGTTGCTATCCATAACATAACCAAATATATTGATACGATACTATGCTTGCTGTAAACAAATGGAGTTGATAGCATCACTACGAATTTCGATACTCGTGGATCTTCATATGGATGGTAACTGGACGACGCACAATCTTATTAGATATCATTACCCGTGTGCATATACCATCTCATATTATAGCTTAAATGCGTATTCGAAGTAAGCCGGATTATCATCCTAAGTCTCCAAATTCCCTGGGAATCCACTAACAGTTGTGTTTACGGACATATGATAAGCTGAGTTATGAACAAATGCTTTGTCCAAACAGACCAGAGTTATGGAGACAGCTTTACAATGCATCTGAACTTCGAGTAGGCCTCGCTTTCCCAAGGTTAGGAAAAATATATGCATATGTGAGAAAGTAATCCTAGCAAAAGATTGGCAATTTTGTTGCTCAAGTGACTTACTTACTGTCCGTGTAGCTCCATAACTGTCTTACCTCAAACGTAGGACCTCCGAAGCCAACCGGATGCTGTGTGAAATACTAATTAGATTGAATATAATAAACAGTTGAATTGGATAGATACCTAAACCGTATATATATAGAGAGAATACCCAATCGTCCAAATTGTGCCTTTAGTCTAGTTGGTACGTCGCAACTTGATAAGGACGCTTAGAAATCTGTGCCAATGGGGCCGCAGGTCTATAGCATTTCTTTTATTCTTTGTCTCGAATATGAACAGAGGTATAAATACTAGACCGAGAGGAGAAAACCTCCGAGATAGATAGTAACATGTTAGCATCGTAGCGCGGCGCATGGTGTAGACATTTTCTCCCTCGGGCGTAAGACTTGACAAAGAGGGGCATATGATCGAAGCTTAACCGGAAGTAATTAAAGTGACCACGGTTTTCTAAACGAATATACACTTTGTACTATGTTTCATCATCCGGGTGATTCCCCCCCTCTAAGTTGCACAATTGTTATTACTCTGCCCGGCAAACTTTTCTTACAGATTTCCGGACCTTACTGGTGGAGGAGATGGTCGCTGAGTCCTTCTCCATTGCTGTTCTTTGGCTTTTGGTACAGCAAGTGGCAGCTTCAACATCGATATCAAGATGTGTATAGAACCTTAATGAGGCAGTTAGTAGTAAACGTGTGAGTTCTTCAATAAGATATGGATGTCTAGGAAGGTGGCTGCAGATAGATCTCGTTGAGTAATAATCCAGGTCAGGTAGAGTATGTCCTCAGTGAAACTTTGACATAACCCCAAGTGATAAGCATTAAACACGCAATATCTACTTGTGGCGTCATATACTAGCGATATGATCGCAACTATATTATATTGGGCGTAGCGTAGATGATGCTCTTATCAGAGGAAATATTATTCTAATTGACTCCCAGAAAAGAATTTATATCGTTGGGGAGAAGAGTAGCATAGTGTCGACACAAATGTTCATAAATGCGATTACACCTTACCTCATGGAAGCATGAGCTTATGAGCTATGAGGTGTCAGGCCCGGCTGTTGATAAGGTGGTACATACCCATTGGTCTACTGTTGACACCAATAATCGAAGCTTGCTTTGACTCGAACATTGTTGTTGCCTACCAAGAACAGTCAAGCTAAGCAATGGTCACCAAGCTCTACGTCCATGCAATACTCGGAGTAAAACGACTCCACTGTCTTTAGTAGGGTACTGAGCAGCTCCCAATTGAATATAGGCAGGGATTGGTTAGTTGCTTTGACTGATTTAGCAATTGACAAACAAGCACAGTGTAGGCTCTATCCCTCAGTACTGTACAATGCAGTGGATATAAATCCCGATTAGATAAGATAGTTCCCATCGAAACTGTCCTTACCGATTAATCATAGCCAAAGAAGCGGTCGGATCAAAAACTGGGTCTTCGAGTCAGTCGCACGTCTCCCAAACATTTGGTCAAGTCCGGATCCAAGAACCATATTATTATCGACTGGGGTTACCACATATATTACACAGATACTATATTATAGCGATGGTGTTTGAGATATATCAGAAGCTTATCCAAGGATGCAAATGTTCAATGCGGAGATTTCATGCAAGGTACCGGCTAGACGCATTGACAAGGCAATTAACACGTGCAGATGTCGAAAGTCGGTGTGCGTCTACGGAAAATAATCATCTTCTAACCTCCTTTGCTATCAGAAACACTCCTGACCAGAACTCTGCGAAGATTGCTACATCATCTACCTCATCAGGCTTAACTACCGCATTAGCCCCGTCCGAGTACGGACATCTTTCGGCACACCAAAGGATTCCCAGGGGAGTGGGCCAGAGTACCACCATAACACGGCTCACGGCTCCATCTTTCAGCTACACCTGCACTGTGCGCACAGCCACTTTTCTAATAACTACATCTTCACTGCCCTCCTGGGTTATGCAGTGCTGTACTGTTGTGCTCGTCTCTATTGTTTATCCCCTGAAACCGCGGAATACATACCGCGGCTACACCCTATTATGCAACAGAAAAGAGCTCTAGTGAGGCCCGTGCCCGATGAATTAAATTAGGTGATATTGGCTGTCATATGAATTAATCTAGTCATGGACCTGGCTAGCCCAGTTGCAGCTCGGCTGTACCGCATAGGAGGGAGGCCGAGGTACTCCGGAATACGGCAGGATTGCATGATCGAAGCGTGTGTTGATCGTGGAGAGAAAAGGATATATGTGGTATGGGGCTATTTCCGGCGTTCCGCATCCTCAGTATGATTCTTGGGGGCTGTAGAAGGATGGAGGGATCTTCCTGGATACCTCAATAGTAGGTCTACACATGCGATGGAGGAGTGAAAGGATCCGATCACTTGGGCGGCAACGCCAGTGCTGTCAGCAACAAGCCGGAAAAGGGTGACGAATTCATTTATCTGGATGGCTGCTGCAGGCTCATGCTTGTGCTACTGTGTGTTCTGTGTTGATATGCTTACAGTGGGTCAGGGCTGTTTCTATGGAATGGTTATGGAATTGGAAACATTCCCTTCCATGGTTATCAATCACTTGAATAGTTTGGTTCTCTCTTTTATTTTTTTTTTTTTTCGCGGGTCGTTCGGGAGGATAATTTACTTCCCGCAAAATCCGAACTTAAGTGGGCTTTTGATTTCTGGCTCGGTTGTAAAGAAAATTTGCGTTGGAATTCTTGAGAACAGATACTCATCCTGATGTATACTATGTAGATAGTCAATACAAGGGGCGAATCGACCATTGAGTTCTCACGCTTACGCAGTAAGGTTAGTAGGGGGGATATCCGGCAGGTGTTAACCGGAAGGATTTGGCGGACAATCAATTGGTTGTTGCGATCTCTTGCTGCTACTGCTGCTGACGGGATAAGACGCTCGCAAGCTGGATCCATATTGTTTTGTTGCTATTTCCACGGAGGCAAAAGTACCTTACCTACTACTTCTACCCGACTCTATTAGAGTTCAGCCTGGACTAAAACTAGGTAGTATCTCGCATCATTGTTGACCTGAAAGGGTTGGGCACTCCGTCCGTTTAACTTTATAGTATCCTACCAATAATTCTGGCCCTAAAAAAGAGGAAATACATCCTTTAGAGTTTGACACTTCCCAGTTTCTTCCTCGGCCCGACTTGCATATATTGATTTGAGTGCCAGAGACGAGATGGCATCGCTTACAGAATTTACAGAAGAGGATCTCTCAGTCTCAGCGTGAGTGGGTGGTGACCACAAACAGACTAGCGGAATCATGCTCGGCCAGCTAGCCAGATCGGGATTGGCCAATCGAGAGATGGAACCCACGATCTGAGTCACGGGGCAGCGGCCTAACCCTGAACAGGCCTAGTGAGCGCGTGATGGTCCAACGGGAGTGCATCTCCGACCCTCTGTCTGGATCCTCCCCTCTCTTCCTTCCCACTCGGCCACGTTCAGCTTATCCAACGGTCCAAAACTTTGGTTTCAAACGTGCTACCGATGGTCTCTCGTCTCCATTTGGTCCCATCCGTCGGAATCCAGCTCGCCCTTCTCAGTTCCACTGCGAGAGATTGATTGTCTTACCCACGCCTGTGAATCGCATGATTCCCAATGGACGTGCCCCGAGCTAAGCCCGCTACTGCATCTATTGACCACTCAGGGTCTTTGTCAACCGCATGGATGCTGGCAATTGGCGAAATTCTGCTCTTTTGATCCCGTCGAAAATCTCAACTTGGAGTGTACCAATTGCCTGGTTCCGCCTTGAGTTTCATCTGCTGAGTGCTGACGGTACAACATGCCCCCCCTCTGGAGTCTGGATAGTTGCTACCTAAGTTGAGGGCCCGTGACGTATTAATGGCTCGAGGATGGTTTAGCCGACGGAGTTCCAGAGGACGTGCTGACGGTCTTCTCGCCATTAGGGGAAGTTTAGACGCTTGGTATCCTGATACGTAATTATCTTTCAATTTCCCTAATAGCCTTTCCCAGAGCTATGACTTTGTCCTGCATGGCTCACCTATAGTGCAAAGCATGTTTTTTTCGGAGAAGAGCGAAGGTTCAGCCAGACGGCGCAGCTGAACCTTCTTGGCCCTCATCCGGCAGGGTTGGCTTTAGCGGTCCTTATCCGCCGAGAGCCACAAATGTAGACCCATCTGGTCGACAAGTAATAACCGACTTTGACAGATGGGAAGAATTTTAATTTCCTGGACTAATCTGATCAAGCCCTTCGGCCCTTCAGTCATGTTTCTGACTCGCCAACCAAGGCTGCAAGTCTGGAACCGATCCGGTAAACTCAATGCCCCATGGTTCCTGGTGCAACCTCGATCGATGGTTCTGATCCAATCAGACACGGAGCAGACTGATACATCTTGGAAGGAGACTGGATATTTCAATTTACATTGCCCAATGTGAATGCTGGAAGAGCGCCGGACCCTCATTCTGGGGCCCTCGTCCACAAATTGGACGCGTACAGCCATTGTGAAAATTGAAGGGTCTGCGGCCACCGAAGGGCAATAAACGGTTCCCACTCGGACATAATACATTTTAGTCTGCTCGATAAATTAACGTCCTTGATTGCATTACGGTCCGTCAATCTGGTACCTGGAGAATCGTGGCTAGTACGTAGTACGGGCCAGCCGCGTGGAGCTCCTGGAAGCTGAATGCCATTGTTAATTTGTTATATTAGAAAGAATTCCCGCATGATACTAGTTAAGCCTGCTCCTGTCAGGCTTACTCTGTTTTTGCCCCCCTCATGCAACGCCCTGTTGCTGCTGCTGTGTAACCTCCCCAGTGTTGTATGTTTGCAAATGCAGTGAGGGACCTTTTATCATCCTCTCCATGCCGCTGTCCTGCGGGTAATATCTGGTCTTAACAAGCTTCTCACGCCGAGAATGTTGCTCACGGACAGGGCTCCCCACGGGGACAATGTCCATGTGTCTTACATGGGAGGGTTCATCTTTCTGGCTTACGTAGTCAGTGTGATGGGATGTACAACCACTCTGGAGCTTCTGCACCGACGGACATCGAGGTCTGGTCTGTACAACTGGTACGATATCCACACTGTCTGATAACAACAGGAATTCGTCTGACAGTAAGTATAGGTATCTACTGCTCACCTCCTCCATAACAATGGGTGGTGTCGGTATCTGGTGTATGCATTACATTGGAAACCGTGCCATTGTCTTGGGAAATGGGGATGCGCAGCTTCAGATCATTTATAGCATGACGTTTACGGGCGTATCTTTCGTGCTTCCGGTTGTCGTCTTGCTCGTTGCCTTCTACAGCATAGGAGCCAGCGAGAAAGCCGGTTATCTCCGAATCCTGACGGGTGGTATACTCACAGGTGGTGCAGTATGTGGTATGCATTATATCGGCCAGCTCGGTATCAGCAACTACCGCTGTAGCTACCGGATTGCAAACATCATCGGTGCTACCATCATTGCGGTGTTTGCTAGTACTGTTGCATTGACGGTCTTCTTTCGGTGGAGGGCCACTTGGACAGATAGTTGGTGGCGACGTGGTATTTGCGGCTGTGTCCTTGCTCTTGCTGTCTCTGGCATGCATTGGACTGCTGCAGTTGGTACATACTACTACAATCATGACACAACCATGAAGCATAATGGCCAGCTTTCGCGGAGCCAAGTTGTCATTATCAGTTCTGTTTTGGTAGGTTGAATTCCAGGAGGTACCGAATTTGGCGGATGTTAACGGATTATAGGCATGCGCTGCTTGCGGAGTTCTGACGGCGTGCGCCGTAGTTGCTGGTGGAAACCGGAGAAGGCTGAACATACAAGCTCGACAGCTCGTTTTGACTTGTGCCTTCTTTGACCAGTCCGGACGAATCATGGTCACTCCTCACGCGCTGCTTCCTAGCCGGAAGATTGTCGATCGTTATGTTGGCAAGGTATGTTCACAAGCTAGTCCACTTTCGACTTGTGCTGATGCAGGATTCTTCGACGACTCGATAGACGTTCAACGATGACGATCTTACCCGAAGCCATCCCGCTTTCCTTTGGGCGTACCGAGCGAGTAGACACTGGAATCTGGTCAAGGATGTCGTTCCTTTCATGAGGAGTCGGATCGAGACAGACGAAGAGGCGGCGGAGCACTTCCTTGCCAAGGGAGAGGCCCTGGATCAGGAGAATGAGCTGCAGAACGATTTCGACGAGCTCTTCAAGCGACACTTTTGCGTTACCGCTCAGGATCTCGCCGATGAGGTTCGACAGCCTCTGCCGGCGCTCGGAAAGCTATACGACGACGTACTGATTACGACTGCTCCCACTTCGCGCTTCTCTCGGGCAATGGGATACTCTCGGTTGAACAATAGCAAGGGTCAGATGCTTTTCACAGTGCGCCATCTGGACAAACAGGAAGCGAATCGACTGGCCGCCGCAGGTTTCCGTTTCACCACGATCGAGAACGTCACATCAGCTTTGTCGAGCCGAATGCACATTCCGCTGCCTGTGTTGGGCGAGCATCTGAAAGACATGCGAGATTACGCGACCGGAGGCCGCAATTACGAGCCGGGCGTCCACCTCGTTTCCTTTGTTATGCGCCCTACTATTTCCGACCACTTTGAGGTACTAACAGCGAAGGGAACCGGTAACCCATTGCCTTCATCAACATTACCGATCAAACGGATCAACATTCAGCACCTCGATTTGATCTCACACATGGAAGGATGGACCATATCGACCTGCTTGTCTTGGCTGAAATCAGAAGCGGCTCAGTCAAACAAGGAGATCGATGACTTCCGCGAGCAACTGATCCATGCAATGACATCGCTAGAAAGCGCACTTCCTCCTGATATCAACATGGCCTCGAAATTCTCGGCCAAACCTCTTATTGCCCCTTGCCGGGCTTTATCTGACTCCGATACGTCAAACTCTATTCTACTACCGTTCTGCGCTGTTGGAAACCTGGATACTCAAGTCTCAAACCCAGACTTTACCTTCATGCCTCTACGCCTCTTCCGCGCACAGCAGCAACTCAACGACACGAACATCGGAGGCGACGGGTTTGCAAAAGAACTGGGCAGGGAACTGTACTATTCAAACGCACGCAGCAGCTCCGCTACGGAGGCCGACATCACACCTTCCATCCGTTCTGTTCTGAAACTCTGGCCACGCAAGCATATGGATCCCGCCCATGGGGATCTCTCGCAGGAAACGCTGACGGAGCTTTCGCAGTTGGGCGATATCATGGTCCGCAAGGAGGTCAAGGTGGACGTCGCTAAGCTATCTACGCGATCACTGGAATCTACCAAACATGCTTCGCACGCCACCGTTGTTGCTGGTGACTTGGCTACCAGCAGTTATGTGGATGAACTCTATAACCTTTGCTATTCACCTGGTGTTCGCCTGCGACCAAATACAGCCATTACTCGGAATTCGATGGCCCGGAGCTCAGTGGCCCGGAGCTCAGTGGCCACAGGATGAACATGAAATTAGACTATTCAACTCAAACACTGCTCTGAGCCAGATGCCCGGCTCTCACCCGGAGACCTCAAAGAAGTATAGGTCCTCCATCAGATACACGTGTGCGCCAGATATGCGCCAGAATGGAGTGAGCCTGCACGCGGCCTTTGGAGACATCCGGCTGCAAAAGAGCAGAGCTGCCCACCCCCACGAAACAGATTATAAGGGGTTAGCCAGAGGCCATACCATGGACCAGCAGGCAACACGGTTATGCACACATCTCTTCACGATTTCACGCCCGTCAAACGATCACATCGTATCGCAATGTCCTCACACTCAGCAAGCAGATTACATGTCTCTCTCTCTCTTTTATCCTTTCTTGTTATCCATATACTAGCGAATTGAAGCAACCAGCTCTGGAGTCATTTCCGTCATGTACATATAGACAGTATCTACTATCCTATAAATACAATAATCACACACTGAGCGACAGAATGCAGATCTCTACTAATAAATACTCCTAAGCATTCATACAGAACCCACATGCCTCCCATCCCATGATTGTTCAAAATACCATCGATCAAGAACAATCATCAACCAACCTCCTACATATCATTTACCCGCAAGGGATTTCTCTACAAACCAAGAAGTAAAACAGCATACTAATTAAACCAAACATAAGATTTCCTTCCCCCAGTGGAAAAAAGACGAAGAGGTATCAAAAACCAAAAAATTCTCCCCGACTGGGAGTCGAACCCAGGTCTCCCGCGCTTGTTCCCAAAGGTGGGATTGACAAGCGGAAATCATGACCGTTAGACCATCGAGGAATTGATAGGATAATACCCCTATAATATGTTATATAAACCAAATGGAGCTGGCTAGAGGTAGAGAAGCAAGCTGACAGGTTTGTTATACCTAGCTGGTTATTGGTCCGCCAACTACACACTAAAGTACTACGTAGTAGTTAGTAATATATGGCTACCTGGTGGAGAGTGAAGTGGGGATCGTGCAAGAGGGGATGAAGGAGGAAGAGGGGTAATTTAATTATTATGTGTAATCGATCGCTGTGAACATTCGATAGGGAGGGGTTATTGTAGGAGAGGATTGAATGGTTGGTTGGGAGAAATTACTAGGTGGTGTGTGTGTGTGTGCATGTTTAGGGGGGAAATGAGAGAGGAGGGTGGGGTTTGGTTTGGTTTGGTTTGGTGCCTGATGAATTGTCTGTCCTTGTGTATGGGGCTTCAGATGTAGGTATAGTATAGTATGGGCTGTATGGCTAGTGTACCTTGTTGTATTGGGTAGCGTTGGTTGACGATTGCATTGCATTGCATTGCATTTTGTTTGCTTGATGTTAAATCAGAGAGGGAGATGCTTGGGTTCAATTGTTCTGTTCTTTCTCGTCTGAGTATGTAAATGATATCTGTAGTGTTAGCTTACTACCAGTTATCATATACGTTGTAAAATATTGACTCTGTGTATACTTGATACTGTCTACAAGTCTACGTACTAGAGGTGGAACTAATATGCTATGGTCGAGTATTGTGCCTTTATTTTCGTGGCAAATGAGTCTCATCGGCTCAATAATAATCGCTAGTCAAATAGCTAAGTAGCCACAGAACAGTCCGGGAATAGAATAGTGGACTTCTACCAGTCTATTCTGCAATAGCCGGTGATATCAAGCAAGATAGTGTGTTTGGCAGACAAACATTCCTTCTATCAAAGA